GTTTGGATAGACTTAATATCAGAAGACTGATCACCAGGTGATTTTTTTTCCACCTGATAACTTCAAGAACACCTACTAAGCCTAGCAAGGAAGAGTTGAAATCAAAAAGATTTCATTAGTGTTGTTTGCCTTCTCAATGAGATAGGAGGAGAGGGAAAAAGAGGGAGAATTCAGAACTCAAAAATTTTTTTAAATCAATGTTACAAATTTTGATATGTAATTGGAAAAAAAATAAATTACGAATTAAGTGTCTGCTATGTGCCAGACACTACACTAATGGTGGGTGATTCAAAAACAAAAAAGGACTAGGCTGTGCCCTCAAGGAGCTTACCAAAGCGTAAAACTCTCCTTTAAGCTGGTTGACATATCCACTCCACGGGGGGCTCCCAGCTCTGACAGGTGAACTTTTGCCTCATTTTATGAGGGCCCAGGTTTCTTCACCTCTTCCCACCCTCTCCTCACTGAGTGACTTGTCTCTGCTCTTTCCATTTATGTGTTGTTTTCCTCCCTTAGAATGTAAACTTATTGAGGACAGAGACTGTCTTGTTTGGTTGTATTTCTATCCCCAGCACTTAGGAATGCCTGGCACATGATGATTAATAAATTATTTATCGAACTAAGCAGATTAGCTCTGTAAAACCAAGCACATACTGTCCCAGTGAGGGTCAGCTAAGGTTTTCCACGTGCCAAGAAGGTGAGAACCGGTATTTATATCAAGGCCTCACACTTCCACCTGACATGACAGGAGTTATAAGTATCTACTGGAGAAATGGATTGATATGCCCTAGTGCCAGATCCCAGCCTCATGCCCTGATACTGAAGAAACCAAAGGCTGTTTTTCAGTTGACTTTTAAAGTATCTTCTAGTCTGGTTTAGGTAGGCAACAGAATACTTCCCCTTCAGACGCACTGCACAGCAGACTCAATTTTAAAGGGCTTTGTCTTAAAAGAGAATACATGGCACACATAAAAACAAGGGAACCTGGCCCAAAACGATCTCTATCCCCCTACCACACCAGCAGCACCTTAATGTGGAATGTGAGTTATGACGTATGGCTCTAAAAAGGGGTAGCTGGATTTGGCTTTCGGGGAAAGTTGTTCAACGTAGGAAACATACCTTCAAACTCTGAAAATAAATGTTTCTGTGATAATATTTAGAGCCAGAAAGGACCACCAAGGTCAGCTAGAGTAACCTCTTCATTTTTCAGATGAGGACATAAGGGCCCAGGGAGGTGAAGCCACTTGAACAAGGTCACACAGATTGTAAGTGGCAGAGTTGGGATGTGAGTTACTCTGCCTCAAAACTCAGCACTCTTTTCACCATACTATGTTGACTTTACTGAATTACCTTGCCCTATGTAAACAGTTTCTCCTTTTAAATCACTACGAGCTGTTGTCTTTGAATATTACAAATAGCAATGTCTGAAAACTAATACTTGGTAGTTTAGAACTGAACATAGAACAGTTTCATTAGGAAGGGTTTTCTCCTCCCAAATGATTAAACTGAAACAGGACACAAAAACATGAAACGGGATTAAACAGGTGTCTCTTGGAGTTTGGGGTACAATTCAAAATTGGCAAAAGCAGTGAAGTTCATCCTAAATTGAAAAGGGCTAGAAATGAGCATATATTAAGCACCACGTGTCAGGCACTGTGCCCGGCATTTTTACAAAAATTTTCTCCTTTGATCCTCACATGAACACGTGAATAATTAAGCATCTACTATATATGACAGGGGCAGCTAGGTGGTGCAATGGATAGGATGCTGGGTCAGGAATCAACAAGCAAATCTGGCCTCAGACACTTACTAGGTGTGTGAGCATGGGCAAGTCACTTAACTCTGTTTGCCTCAGTTTCCTCATCTATAAATATGAGCTGGAGAAGGAAATGGTAAACCACTCCAGTATCTTTGCCAAAAATCCAAATGGGGTCACAAAGAATCAGGCAGAATTAAAAATGACTGAACTTGCCAGGCACTGTGCTGATTGCTTTTACAAGCATTATCTTACATGATTCTTATGTGAGCATGCATTAACCACCAACTATATGCCAGGCTGAGTGTTATTAGAAATATTTTCTCATTTGATCCTCACATAAACATGCATTAAGCACCTACTCTATGTGCCAATCACTGCGCTGAGCACTTTTACAAAAATCTCATTTGAGGTAGGCACTATTATTTCCCCCTCCCCCTATTTTACAATTGAGGAAATTGAGGCAAACAGAGGCTGAAATGACTCGCCCTGGGTCACAGGGCTAGGAAGTGTCTGAGGAAGGATTTGAACTCATGACTCCTGAATCCTGACCACAAGCTCTAGCCAATTCACTGTGCCACCAGCTGCCTCTATGACCCCAAGGTGAGAGCATGAGCTCAGAGCAAGACTCACCCCACGAACTTGCCCCATGTTCCCCAGCTAGGTCTTGTCTCCAGAGCAACCACCTCACCCAGATTGCTGAGTCCTGCCACGAGAACATTGCAGAACAGCCCCCCACCCACCCCCATACCCCACCTGGTCACGCAGGAACAAAACCAGCAGAGCAGTTGGAAACTCGTCATTGCTTCTTTATTTCGATGCACCCACAGTACAGAGCCCTCCACACACGCGTGAAAGGAGAAGGTTACATTGACATTTGGGAGCACCAGTCATTTTGTCCTTGTTACCACCTTGAAGAAAGTAAATCACTTCCAAAGAATGACATTTTGGAATCCCACGGGTATAAACACTCAACTTGGTTGTCAGTCTCAGGAGGAAGTAGCATACATACTTTAGCCGGAGCTGGAAGATTGTTCTGTGGCGTTTTCTTTTGACATCTGATGAGGAACAGAAGATTTTCGCTGTCTAGTCAGGTCAGTCTCTATTTTCATATGCAACTTTTCATATCAAAAAAAAGTTTCGTTTTATTTCTACCCACACATAGATGAAGTCAAAAAAAAAACAAAACAAAAAACTAACGGACCACAGCATCTCTAAGGGGGAAAATGAACGTCTGCTGCCCTCTCCTGCTGAAACAATGAAATGCTAACATACCAAAAGATAAAGCTAATGCTAAATCCTTTAACCAAAGCATGAACATGTCATTCTTTATACTACAATCAAAAATAGGACAACAAGAAATTTATTGATAATATTTATATTTGAAAACTCCTCATTGGTACATGAGGTTTGGATTATAACTTATTTACAGTAAACAACCAAAAAAAAAAAAAGGAAACCTATATTCATACAAATCATGATATAGGATGTTTGTTTCTAAACAGATAATTGCTGCTTCAGCGGACAAAGAAGCAGCCTGTGAATCGACATTCTGTTAAATCAAAATTTGCTCAATTTTGCCTCCACGTTGCACAGTCCTTTTAGACTTCCAAAACTAAATATTGAGGAATATAAAATTCATTGCCAATACCTACTAGAAAAATCCTTTGTGGCTCACTTCCTATCTCCATTAGGAGAACTGGTTGAACCAGAATATAAAAATAAAAATATCCATGTGCAAATAAAACATCATTTGATCATGTCTAGTTGTCACCTTCTTTTTGCTATCAGGTGACTGTCACTTTGTGATGACATTGGTAATAGCATTGAAAGAGAGATTAACTCCACTTTCTGGGACAAGTTGGTGCACCCAATTTGGAAAATTAAAGTTAAAAATAGAAAAAAAAAATTAACCTGAACCAAACATGTTTTTACATGCTAATAGACATCCATACATCTTCCCCTTGGCCCACCCCACCCCCCACAAAAAAATAAAAAAGCTTTTAAAGCTCTAAATATACTTTTTTTTCTTTCCATAGTGTGATTGAGCCTGCTCTATACTCAACAGGTACAGCAGGTGCAAATGCAAGCAATTCCTGGCTCTGCACCCTGGACTGATTCCACATATAGAAGGAGGTACAAAATAAATTAAACCCTTCTATTTATGCAAACAGATCCAAGATGAACTGAGTGTAACCCTGCTCGTGAGTATCCAGCGGCATTAAGAGTTATTTTTGATTCATTTATTTTTAAATTTTTTATTGTATTTTTTACAAAAAAAAAAAAGCCAAAAAACAACAACCACCAAAAAAAAACAAAAACAAAAACAAAAAAACCAACCCACTCAAATGTTTGGGAGACCAAAACAAAAACAAAAACAAAAAACCCAAAAAGTGACAGGAAAACAACTGGGAAAAATCGCAAGATGTGAAAAGGAATGCATGCTTGATTTAAAGTGAGATGGGAATATTCATGGGTATGGTTTTTCTATGCCCACAACCTAATGCCTTTTTATCTAGGCCACAGTCCTCTTCTGAAGACACTCTTAACCCTCATCCTGAAACCAATATGGTAGGAACGAGGGAGTGAGTGACCACTCACTAACTACGATATTTGCTCTTTAAAAAATATATTTATATATAGTTCTGGAAATTATGAAGCAAACAAAAGTACGAGATGCGTTCATCACAACTGAGTTGCAGCAAAGATCAGGATTGTGGGAAGGGACAAGGAGGGCTGCTGCAAATGCAGCAAGTATGTCCTTAAGTATGTCACATAGTGCAACAGTCGGGTTACCTCAGTTATTCTGCGTCATTGGACACAACATGACAAAGGTCACATTGTCTCTTTCAGTTAAAAAAAAGTGAAAAGATAGTGTTTCTTCTCAGAAATTGCCCTAGGAGTTTTAGATATGCTGCCACTTAAAGGCAGCAGGGTAATGTGACCAACTCTTCACATAGGTCTAATATTCGTCTCCGTTTTTCTCAGTGTAGGTATCAACATATAAAGTTGACACTGAGAATAATCTGTATAAAGTCATCACCTATGGTGCAAGAAAGGTTCCTTGTCTTTTAAAATTTCAAATGACTGCATTTCATTTCATTGGGCAGAGATTATTAGTTCATTCATCCATTAACGTCCTCAGTCTTCAAAGGCATGTTAACTGTAAATATAAGATTACACTAACAAAAATAATCATAATGCACAGTAGAAATCAAAGGCTATTCAAATCAAAGGAGCTAAAGGAGATGGTTTGTTATAAATTTATTTTTATCTTTAGTATTTGAGCTTGCACCTTTTCTCCAGTATTTTAAAAGAAGTTGTATGATCTTTGGCAGCCTCTGCCAAATTTCTATCAATCTCCCATCGATTTTTTTTTTTAAAAAAAAAAACATCTCTAGTAATCCTATTAAACCATGTTATTTTTGGTGTTGCATATGACTAGTTTACTGCTATTTCATTTTCAGAATTAACATTGTCAAGTTTTTACAAAGTTGCTGAGATGACAATATTCTTATGTGGCTGACTCATGTATAAACTATGACCTGATAATCCTGAAAGACGTAACCTGGGAGAGAGGATAGGGCTGCCCTCTCCATCCATCCCCACTCTTTTCTTTTTTTTTTTTTGGCTTGGAAACAAGAAAACTATCTTCTACTACATATTTAAATGGAGGGAGGAAAATATACAAGCCCATATTTATACTGTATTCCTATCAAAGGGCAACAGTTCATGTGTTCATATTTTTAACTATCACAATTAGATGCATGAACACAGAATCTGCTCTATACCATAAATACTGCTGGGACCAATCATTTAGGATTATCAACTCACTGTTATCATGTCTATAACAGATCAAAAGAGTCCTGGGAAAAAAAAAATCCTGCAATACATACCTTTCGGTATATAATAATGCCACTGCATTAGCTAAATATATACTGTACATGAATCACATTAGCATTTTACCTACCAAAGATGTAAGATTTCACTTTTAAGTACAAAGCAGATAGCCAATGATGTATACTTTGTGATATAGCTCTCGTTTTTTTTGTTGTTATTTTTCCTTAAACAATTTGGTCACAATGCACCTTTGATATAAAAGCATTTTTAAACTTTATTATTAATACTCAGGACATAAGGAATTTCCAGATTTTTTTTCAGTAGCATTTGTAGAACCACTTTTGGTAACAAATACAGTAGTTAGGAATAAGCATCTGATTCAGAATGCAGAATAATGTTATCCTGAATCCTTTCCAGCTAAAAACAGGGCTGGCGCTGGGATGAGAAATTCAACTAGAGTCTACAAAAACACTGTAACATTTTTCCAGAGGCTACATCCTCTTTTGCTGGAATACTTTATAAATACATATTAAAAAGTAAGGCAACAACTCCAAACAGCCCAAACTGTTTGCTCAACTCTTTTTCCAATTAGATCTGCAATCCCTGGAGATCAATTTCACGGATGTACTGTTTAGTGTTTGTCTTTATTATTTCAAAGTGGTCCAAAAAGATGTATTTCAGTCATTACTAAAACAGCTCTGGTATATGTGTTCAATGATGCACATAACTAATACTGATTAGGTACTGAAGTCTGTGGTGTACCAGTGCCTGTTTTCAAAAGGATTCAAGACATTGATTTGGATCCATCACAAACTAATGCATGAATCCAAAATTCCCTTCCCTACCATGTTTATCACCTCTCTGTGTTTTACTCCTGATGTGAAAACTAAGGAGTATGAGGACTAGCCTGGTTACTGGAAAGATGCTTGCTCACACCAGTAAACAAAACCTTTGCAGGGACCTGTGTATTCACGGCCCTGTTCTTTGTGGACATTCAACCTATGAAGATGTGCAAAAGGAAAAGATGTCAAATTACAGTAAAGTTATCCAGAGAAGGAGGATGTTACACAAACTTATAAGGAAATGACAGTCTTTTTTTTTTTTCCTTTTACTATAAATACACTTAACAATTTAGCAGAAAGACAAGCTAAATTTAAGATTGTTCACATTTGAAAATTGTATCATACTCTCTGCTAATGATAAATAAGGAACTCCTGACAATGGAATTTAAACATAGCAATTTTATCAACAGATCTCTGAAGACTGCTTTTAAAGTAGGGTTAGAACAATGATTATGTTTGCAAAGTTCTGAGAAGTCCATCTACTGTCCAAACTTTGGATTTAAGTCCTTATTTTTTTTTCCTTTACTTAGAGACAGGTATATACAGTGCTGTTGTAATAATGAAACAAATGTGAAATCTACTGTAAAGTTGCACAATACAGAAAACTGTTGCTCCATCTTCTACTACATAAATGTGTGACTCCACAGGTTAATAATGCTGTTGTCATTTTGTTGCTGTTGTTAAGTTGGAATTATTCCATCACGTCTAAGACCTCTCTTTAACTCCAGGTCCTCCAGTTTTTTCCACAATTCTTCACGTTCTTTTTCTTTCTTTTTCTCACTGGTGGAAGAAACAGAATTCAGTGTAAACAGTGGAGAAGTTTTAAAGAGATCAGAACCCCCCACCCGCCAAACACACATTTTAAATTCTGTGAACAGTTTGGCATTAAGCTTGTCATTTCTTGGTTTTCCACACTTAGATAGACACAAAAATAGTGTTAACTGAACAAGCAGGAGATGACAAGGATATTTTAAGATTCTTTTTCACATGAATATTCTTCTGGGCTCAGTTTCTTACAGAAATACTGCTATCTAAGCTCAGAAAAATGAAGGCGATCATTTGTCTGGAGCAGTTGTTCAATACTCAGGAACACCTTTGGTGATTTTTGGGGGGAGTGATGGGGGTGGAGAGGAGGAGTTTATTCTTATTTAGTCAAAACCAAATTCCTCTGCACATACCACCACTTTCAAAAGTGACCCCAGAAATGCTATAAATGCTGAGTTCTAGGAACACAAAAATACCTAGCCCTTCTATCACTTTATTTTTTTTTTCTCTATTACATATAATATGGTCTGTCTATAAACTTAAGTAAAGTAAGGGTCTTTCCATATTGGTAAGCCACATGTTCAGGATTCTCTTATTTAACTCTGCATACCCTTACCAAAATAAATGAAATAAAGAGCTTCCAATGACTTCCAAGGTTTCAGGTTCCCTGAATTTATGTGTTAGTAATCTGTATGGAGTTTGCACTCCTTACTGCAAATGAAATACTTAATTTACTAAATAGAAATCCTACTTTTGTTAACTGCCAATTAGATCACCTAACTATAAACCAGGGAATTTTTCACCCCAAGTAAAAGGGGGATGTGGCTTTTGGGTCATCTAACCAAGCCTAGAAGTAACAATTCCTTAGATAATATATAGATAATATACATGGGCTAATTAAAAATTACCGACACACTGGTATAATATCATAGCTATAACTTAAAATTTCTTCTACCCTTTTTATCTTATTTTTTTTTTGGTTAGGCAGTGGGGTTAAGTGACTTGCCGAGGGTCACACAGCTAGTAAGTGTTACGTGTCTGTGGCTGGATTTGAACTCGGGTCCTCCTGAATCCAGGGCCGGTGCTCTATCCACTGCGCCACCTAGCTGCCCCACTCTTCTACCCTTTTTATTGCATTGCATAGTCTCTCTGGAAATAACTTAGGAATTTAAAGAGTCTTATTCCTGCTGGATAATTTATGTTACAATTCCATTTTAATCCAACTATAATAAATAAACCTAAACTGAAGTACTATTTCAATGTATTGAGGGGAATGTTATCTATATACACCATAGTTCCAGAAAACATCTCTACAAAATCCCTGGGTTAGTTAATCTACTCAGTTTTAGAAAGCCTATTCCCTGGGTCTTGCTGCCTGAACTAGAGCATAGACATAAACTCAACTAACCTACTATAGCTAGCTGGCCCCAGACCCCTCACACAATCATCACACCATATGAAAATATGCCACCCATGCCATTCATCCTATCAACAACATGTACCTCCACCTCTTGCTCTTGACCCAAAAATCCTACCAGTACTACCAACGGTCCTGGAGTTGGCTTGCTAATCAGCTGCTCTGTGGATCACCATCCCTGTGATTCCCCAGATACATTCTTTCCTGGCCACCACTCCTATATATTGTGCATTGTCTCCCACTGTAAGAATGTAATCTTTCTCAAGGTCAGGGAGTAGCTTACTTTCATATTTGTATTCCCAGACTTTGGCACACTGCCTGGCACTGGGGACAGGGACAGGGACTGAACATATGATTTCATTGATTTAGGGAACTCTCAGATAGGGAAACTTCCTATACCAATGCAGGTTGGCACTGTGTCTGTGGCAGAACCCACACCTGGTACAAAGTAAGCAGTTAATGAATTTTTATTCATTCATTTATAGGTGAAAAGAATACCTATACCAATGAAATTATGGAGCCTTGAAGTACTGAAGCAAATAACAACCTGAAGTTCATTCATTGCTCACCTCAGATAAGTTATAGACATCGTCTCACTCAGTGACATACTTGCTCAAAATTCATCTTCTTCACTATTCATTTCAACCTCTATGGCTATTGCCCAGAATCCAGCAAACCAAATTAAATACAAGAACAGCCAAGGCATTTGTGGAGGCAGCATGGTATATGAAAAAAGGCACTAGAGTTAGAGTCAGAAGTCCTAGATTTTAATCCTGGCCCTGATATTGACTACCTGCTCCAACTTTGGGCACATCCTCCTCCTTTGGCCCAAGTTTCCTCAGCTCAAAAATGAACAATTCATCTAGATAATCTCTAAGCTGCTTTCTAGATAAGTACTAACTGTATGATCCTCTGACCTTATAGTAGAGATCTCTTACTAATGGCTTCTTAGCAGCCTAAACTAATTCAGTTTGAGATGTGATAAAATGCATCTTTGGATTCCAAATACTGGATTTAATATAACTCAGAATCTATTTGGTGTCAAAACAACTTTGAACATTTTTGATGTTTTAAAAAAAAAAGAAATCAGAACACTATGAATCATGTTAATGTAAAATGCATAGTTTTTATATTTGCGAGGAAGAATGGAAGAGTCTGACCTAGTGCTTTTAGGAGGTCCCTAAATCAAAAACAGTTGGAACATCAAGTCAAGTTCATATCTTCCTAATTTGAAGTAAAAATAGAAAAGAAGACATGACTAAAACACTCAACTTTATTTTATGTTTTAGGAGCTAACTCATCTTGTCAAATTGTTTCATACACGTGTCAACTAGTTTATGGCATTCTTAGTAATGATCCTCAAAAGCTTCTTTTCCAGATATGGAATTAATGTGCATTTCATTCTAACAACTTTCATTTCAAAACCTTTAAATATTTCTGATATAATGTTAATGTCACCTACATTCTTCCTTATTATTTCCAACAGGAATATCCCACAGAAATTAATTTAAAAACTGAATACCACTTGGGGGCTGTCACATTCTCTTCCAGTTTCAATATGAAATAGCACTAAGATTGACATAGGAATCAACCGCTACCATTGTAAGTACTTGGGTCATCCACACATCTCAGGCAGGCATTAATTGACTCTTGGCATTCCATGACTGTTATTCTCCTTACATCACTTCTTTAAAAGTGTCAAATATGTCAGGACCAACTTTCTATTCATCATATGACATATTCATTCCCTTGCTTCCTTACATCTTGGAAGCTCTATTTTTTCTAATGAGTTGAATGTGAACTCAATAATCAAAAAAGAAAAAAAAATCTATTTTAATAAAACTACCTATCCTAGATCCCTAAGGCAAAGCAATGCCTTTTTTTTTCTCTGAAGGTATTCCTATCTTTCCTAAAAGTCTTGCCTATTTAATTCAGACAATAAATGATGAGAAGCTATTTGCAGTTTTACCTTCTACTATTCAGCACATTTCTGAAGCCAAATAGTAACGACCAGGTCATATTTAGCACTAAATTCTTATGTTAATAGAATATTCAATCTCTTTGCTAGGATTTTCCACAGAACAACCCCCTCTCCAACTAAGGTAATATTAATAAGACTTCTGCTGAAGTTGATGACATATTCCATGCTGTAATGATACATCTTAATATTTATATGAATTAAAATTTTTAAACAGCAAAAAATTAAAATAATATTTTGTTTATGGCACAGAATACAATCACAGATTTTAAGGGCTTGAGATGACATTATTATAATTCAAAGTATCCTAAAAACATCATACAACTTCCTGATGTGACAGAGCTTGGCCTCTCCTGACTACAGATGGCAAGAAAACCTATATCAAATTTTATAATCAAATTACTTTTCAAGAAACTCACTGTCTTTAAGAGTGAAAAAAAAATCCTCTAAATTAGATGGCCTTTTGAAACCAAGCTGTCCACTTGACTTTTCTCATTTGTAAAATACAATTAACAGAATTAAAACTAAGCAAAGCAAAGCAAAGCAGGTCATAGGTAAGAATATTCTAATAAATTTTAGGAGATCCAAAAAACTACAAAGTTTTATGATACACAGTACCTGGCATTTTGTTTGCAGGGGCCCAAAATGAAATCAAAGGCCCAACCTGAGTGTGCTCAATTACTAAAAGTTCTAAGACCTTTTTTTTTTTTCATTTTTTCCATGTTCTTTAGAAAATTAGAAATTTGGAAAAGAAACACACTCAAATTAGAAAATTAAGCATATGAAGTGAAAAAAAATTTCCTAGATCAAATTCAACTATATTTCAGTTGGTTCTAACACTCTTAAAACATATCAGATTTTTTTAAATGAGAAAACAACAAGCCAAAAATAATGCTTTGATTAGGAAAGTAGCAGGACCTGCTCCCACCCCACCAATCATTAGCATCATCATCATCATGAAAGTGTCATTCAACTAAACAAGACAGTTTATCAACCATGTCTTTCATTTCTAAATCTTGTTATGTCTTTTAGAATCTGGGTATGAAGTCACCCTTCTCACAAAAGAAAAGTGTTCTGAAAAGCTTCTTTCCCATCTCCTCTGGAAATGAGTATAAAATCAGCTCAACTTTATTTTTTTTTTAATCAATCAACAAGAATTTATTAAGTGCCTACTCTATTCCAGGCACTGGAGGTACAAAGACAAGAAGGAAACAGCCCTTGCCTTCAAGGGGCTTGCTTACATTCTTTTACAAACACATAAGTTTATGCAAAATAAGCATAAACAAAATGATTGGGGGGGAGGGAGTAAGGCTGTTGTAAATTATGAAGTACTAATTGAATATCATTTTTAAAAGATCACTTCTGTGATTTCATTGGCATATGAAACTCCTACCAAGGCAGATCTGTATCCAACCTGCAACTTCAAGTGTTAGAGAGTTACCAGGAAAACTGAGGGGTCAATGACTTGCCAAATGTCACAAAGTCAGTATTCTACAGCTCAACTTTATAGGTACTAATCTAGAAATGACATGGGCTAAGGATTTCACTACACTCAATTCAAACCAATTCAGTTTAAAAAATAGTTATTAAATGCCTACTACATACAAATGCACTGTGCCAGGTGTTCGGGATACGAAGACAAGAATGAAAAATAATTTTTGCCTTAAAGGAACTTTCCTTATGATGAGGGATGTAACGTGTAAAGAGTTGTAAATACAAGATAATCTGAAAATGAAGAGAACATTAACTGAAAAAATCAGAAAAGGGTTTATATAGAATAGGGAATGCATTCCAGGCATGACGTGGATAGGGTGTGCATTATCATACAGGAGGGAGATACAATTTCAAGTTCAGGTAACAGCAAATAGAGGCTGAAGCATAGAGTGCCTGAAGAGGAGTAATGTTTATTAAGTCTGGAAAAGCAGGTTAAAGGGCCTTTAAATGACAAGCTAAGGAATCTATATTTTAATTTAGAGTCAATAAGAAGCCACTAGTTGGACTGGGGCAGAGTAAGGGTGGCGGGGTTTGGAAGAGGGAGAGAAGTATCAGATCTGTGCTAAAGATTATTTGGACAGATATATAAAGGAAAGGGGGAAGGGGCATTTAGTATTGTAGGCAGGAGGGCCTGACCTGGAAGGTGGGAGGTGGGGAGGAGGGCGAGTAAAAAGGAGAGGGTTAGATGTGACACAAGTCAGGGAGATAGACTCGGCAACTAATTAGCTATAAAGGGCAAGAGAAACAGAAAAGTCAAGGCTATGAACCTGGGTGGAAAAAAAGATGGAGAAGCCTTCAAGAAAAGGCATCTGCTGCTCTCTTTAGTCAGGAGAGGCTGAACTCTGTTATATCGGAACTTGTTCAGGGTTTTTGGAAGTAGGAAAGATTATTAGACAAATTGAGTTTGAAATACCGACAGTACATCCAAATGGATATATCTAGTAAGCAGTTGACAACATGAAACTGGAGTTTGGGAGTGAGATTAAAACGGGATTCATATATTTGGGAGTCAAGATGGTTTCATCAAGAAAAGGAAAGGAGGGGCTAGGATAGAGTTCTGACAGACACTCACAGTCAGGAAGCAAGAGATGGATTACAATGAGCCAACAAAGAAGAATGAGAAGAAATGTTCAGACCTATGGGAGAAAACTCAGCTTCCACAATGGCATTGTGGAAGCTGAGAAATAAGATAGTATCCAAATGGAAGAGATGGCTGACATTGTCAAAAGCCGCCAAGAGATCAAGAAGGATGAAGCCAGAAAATAAGGAAACGATTAAAAGGGCAACATCTTCAAGGAAAAAGAAGGGAATGGGATCAAGACCACAAGGTAGAGTCTTTGTAAGGAGAAGGACCACCCATCTCAGAGACTGAAACAAATAATAAAAAGGTGTGAGAGGGTTGGGGCAACTAGAAAGGTTTTGATGTATGAAATAGAAGAGTGGATGGAATTCATGACTAAGACCTCAATTTTCTAAGTAGGAACTGAGGCCTTCTGCTGAGGCAGGGAAAGGAGTATGTATATAACTGAAATTAATAACAAGGTACTAGCCTCAGTCAACAGAAATGTATGATGTTCCTCATGGGTATTTAGTAGCAAGTGAATAGAAACAAAGAAGGAAGATGGTGTAGGTTACCATGATTCAAGTTTGCCAATACATGTGAGGCCACAGGCCAATGGAACAAGAGAGTCAAAAGAAGAGGGAAGTGTAGAGTCAAACTGGTTACCTGTGCCAAGACTGAAGGGAGGAGAGTGAGGCCAGAGCATTGACAGACAAGGAAAACAAGGCTGTGAGCTCTCTGAGGACAGAAACTGCTTCTGTTGTTTTGTCTTTGCATCACCCACACTGGCATATAGCAGGTGCTTAATAAATAAATTCTTGCTAGATTAAATTCCAGTTACTGTTACTGTGAAAATAAAGAATAATTTAGGAAGAGTAAGGCAGAGGAAGAAATGAGAGAATAAGATCAGTAAACAATTTCAGCATTCTAGAAGAAAAATAGGTGATGGTAAGAGCAGGAATATGAGTAGCCCATCTTGTGGTGAGTAGAACAAACGTATGGGAGTCTGATGAGCTAGGAGACCAGAGTGTTCCAGGGGAAAAAAATGTATCAGGTCAGAGTTCAAGGCGGAGAAGATGACTGGGAGCTAGGTTCCAAACCCCTTGAGAAAAATGGGAGAATGACTTGGGATGTGGCCTGAGAGGTAAGGCAATGCAATAGGAATCTAAATCTAAACTATAATAAAACCAAATGGAATAAACCTCGAAGGAACAGTGTTTGCAGAGCAATGTAGGCAGAGGGCTCATCCCGAAGCAGCAAGTAAGAATTAAGGAATAGGTCTGTTCCTCAGGCTCAATGTGTTGGGATAACAGTCAAAATTGAAGGAATGAGAAAGAGTGTACCCAAAACTGTAGAGAATGGTCAGGGATGAACTGAACGTCTTCTGGGGGAGTCAAATTTCTGTGACTGCAAGAGGACAGACTGAGAGGAAGACGTCTAAGAAGAAGAAAAATTTGTTAATGATAGAACAGGGATCATAGAAAACAGTGGAAAGGAAAGGCAGAGCAACACAGGTGAGTCTAAAGGGTAGGGCAGAGGCAGACAGAGATTAGAGAGAAGTGGGTGATAATAAAAGAAAGAGGTTTTTTCCTCACCAAATGGCAATTCTGAATTAAAAGGCTTTGGATCCTGTCTATAGGCCCTCAGAAAGGATAGGCTGGAGTCGACCCAACATCTCAGGGCAGCCCAAGAACCAAACTGCCTGAAAGTCCTGAAATGGAATGACCAAAAGCCATGGTGGAATACTACAGAGGAGGTCTATTTCATGGTCATGACCTTGGGACTAAATGAAAACCTAATAGGAGGGTAGAATTTGCTGCATTTAGTTCTCTGTCAAACTGAGGGCTGAAAAACAAGTCTGAGAGATCACATATTCACAAACTGAGGACAGGTACTGTATTTCATTGGGTACAAAACACATCAATGCATAATATTATTTGGCATCCCACAAGGACAAAGCTAATGAACATGCAAAAAATAAGGGGGGGGGGGGAAGCTGCATTTGACTGTAGGTTAAATCAGGCAATCTGAGCAAAGAATAAGACAAGAACTAAATAGGGAACCTTATGCACAGCTGACAAAAAAGCTTTAAAGAGTTACCGCTGGCGATCTGACTTGTAAGTGGCTGTTAACTCGTCAAACATGGTGCTGTTCATTTCCATAAATGCCTTCAATACATTGTACACTAAAGCCACGATAGCCCTGTAAAATACAGAGGAGAGAGCATTTGTTAATTGGTCTTATTTAACACTGTGATAAATTAATCCAGAGAAATATTTTAATTTGGATGAGTTTTTCTAATTTATATCTCTGTCTCTATCACATTCTAACTGGTACAACTAGAAGTGATCTACAATTCTGCTCTTCACTACCCAAAAAAAGAACTCATTCAGCTAGGAACTATAATCACCCTATAGATCTGGTAAAGTGAAAGAATTTCAGGTGTGAGTCCTCCATGCCAAAAAATGGGATGTTCCTAGGAAGGCACAGAGAGTAAATCTATACATATGGGAATTTAGTAAAATGAGACAAATACTGACATTAAATAATTTCCTCCTAAAAATAAGTAAAGATGAGAGATCCAAACTGTGAAGTCTCCCATTTGCAAAAATATTTAGCCTTTAAATGATAATCTACAGAATTTCAAAAAATTGAAATTCACTCCCATAACGACGAGATTCAAAAAGATGACTGAATGTGCCAACTCAATGATGATGGTGCTGACACCTTGTCAGCAGGATATAAGCATGAGTTTTATAGTGATGTCAATAGATTGACTCCAATCCATCTGCTCTTGTCTCATATCTCCTCCTTTGTGACCCAATGACATATATTTGTGAGACACACAGCCAAGAATCAGATTGCTGCCTGTGGTCAGGAAACATTAAGGCCAGCTGGCTTATATTATGTGCTAACAAAACTGAGATCTAAACACAAATAGCTTTAGCATCAATATACAATTAGAATATAACTTCTATCTTCCAACAACATCAAAGAAAAAAATGTACTGCCACAAACTAATCTAGGAAGCTAGCTGGTATAATGCATGGAATATTGGCCTTATAGCCAGGAAGATTTGAGTTAAAATCCTGCCTCAGATACTTACTGTGTGACCCTGGGAAAAATCATTTAACCTCTCACAGCCTCAATTTTTCCATTTGTCAAATGATTATAATAATAGCATCTACTTCACAGGATTGTTGTATCAAATGAGATAATACATTTATATATAGTACTTTGCAAACTGCTATATAAATGTCTGCCATTACTGTTAATTTATGTGCTAAATGAATGCAGTATCCAGTTTCAACTTTTTTACTTCTAAGCGTACTGGGGGCTAAGCTTTTGCTTCTCTGTACTTGAAAGAGACAACATAAGCTGTGTCTGGTTCTGAAAAATATTCTAGTTTAGGTCAAGGACCATGGGGGAAAAGGAACATACGTGCTTATTGCCCCAAACTTATCACTATGAAGAACAAGCAAGCATTCAAGGGCAGAAACCAGACATTCAATTAATTTCTAACAAATTAGGAATTCTTCTCTGAATGTCCCCAGTAGGTTAAGTTGGCACTTGAAAGAGGAAGGAAGCCTTGATCTGGAAAACTGTTGAGAAGTTACTTAACTAGGCCTCACTTTTCTCGTTGGGTAAATGAAGTTAGAAAAGATGTGTTGGGTTTCTCGTAGCTCTAAAGTCCTAAGACTATATAAGTGATATTTGTGAATTTCTTGCTAGCAGAGCACCAGACCTGGAGTCAGGAAGTTCAAATTCTGCCTCAGACACTTACTAGCTGCATGATCCTGGGGAAGTCACTTAAGCCTTCCTTAGTTTCCTCATCTGTAAAATGGAGATGATAATAACAGCACTTACCTCCTGGGTTGTTGTGAGGATCAAACAAGATAATATTTGTGAAGTGTTTTGCAAACCTTAAAGCACTATATAAATGCTAGTATCATAACTATTATTATCTTATAAAACAATTTTTATAAATGTAACTTGTTAAGTATATACAAGGGAAAATGAGATTAAGAAAATTTCCACGTGAAACTCTTAAATAAGACATACTATGAATGTCCTAAATGATTTTCTTAATATGTTGATTTTTATTTATACATATACTGATTTCCTTTTTTAAAAAATGCTAAAATTAGTGATTAACTACCAACTGAGATGTTTTCATGGCATGAAATTGCTTTAAATACAAATATGAAGGCTAATAAAAAATCAAACCCGGTTTTCACTTATACTCAAGTGAATTTTAAACTTATATTTGAATATTTTATATCATAATTTTTCCCCTATGGAATTTCCAAAAGGAATGAATCCAGGAGGCTTAAAGTCAATCTAATTCAACAAAGATTTATTAAGTGCCCACTGTGTGCCAAGTATGGTTCTACAGTACTCAGTGGTGGAAGATGTGCAAGGATTATATAAGATCATCTCCCCCATAATAGAGGTTGTTATCTAATAGGGAGATATGACATATACACAAAAAACCTCTAATTCCAAATAATACGTGACAGACACATTAGAGAGGTACAAAGTCTTTAAGAGGTGGGAGTGGAAAAAAGGTTATCACTGTCTGGCAGTAGGGAGGGGGGCAGAAGATCAAGGAAAAATGTCATGGAGGAACAGCATCTGAGTTGGGTTTTAAAGTATAGGCAGGAACTGAATGAGGAAAAACAGGGAAGTGAGGGCATCAGAGGCCAGGGAATAGTGTGAACCAAAGCACTGAGGCAGGAAAGCATGAGGAATATCCAAGGACAGACACATCCACTTCAGCTAAATTATATAGTAAATGCAGTGGAACAGTACGATATAAGCCTGGAAAGGTTGGGTGGCACCAGATTGTGAAGGGAAGGTCTTAAATGCCAGGCAAAAAAAAGACTTTAAACTTTACTTGATAATAGGAAGCCACTGAGTTTTTCTGAGATAAGGAGTGACATAACCAGCTCTTAAAGGAACTGAAAAAGTTGAAATCCTGAACTAAAACTTACGGGTTCCAATGTTCTTTGGAAATCCTATAGAGACTGGAAAACATGATGGGAAGGATGACATTGGAGTTTTCCTCTATCAAACTCATGATGTATTCATTATTCCAATAATACAGTGCCCTCTCTGCCACCTTTGAAGAAAGGGAAAATAAAATAAATATCTAAAGAAAAAAAATCAGCTAATGGCTTTGCAAAAGACCAAGGTAAAACAAAATGTTATCATTTCTAAGTACTTAAACACCTAAAGGTGGTGGTCATTTTTCTTTTCTTGCTAAAAAAATCAAACCAATGATATTTAAATCAGAAACAAAATTAAATATTAACAACATTTTACTTCACTGGGGAATGTATTTTAAATGTCTGAAAATTCCTAAATGGTTCCTGAATTTTAGAAGGAAAACAGGACTTTGTGCCTTCCTACTGTCACATTACCATCCATGTTACTACTGTGTAAATACTCTTTGGTCTCAAATGCCATTTATCCTGCTTCTAAGCTCTTTATAATCTTCAAAATAATTCGACTGCACTCTTCAAACTGCTACCCTGTACTCACTCACTCCCTCTTTCTTATACAACTCTATGCAGTACAAGCTGATATCCTGCCTCAACCTGAGAATTCATTTGAGGCAGGCATACTACATCATCTATAAAGTGGGACTGGGTGGGGAAAAAAATGCTGACTTCCTGCTCTTATACAAATTAGGGACAACTATCTTAAAGTGAGAACAAAATACTAGGGTAGGGTGGCAACTTGTTCATCTTTCTCAGGCTTTAATGCCATCCCTCCTCCCCCAACAGAGTCTGAAGAATTACATTTTTTTTTTTTTTTAGTATACAGTATTCTGAAGTTATAGTTGGGGAATTTGAGGGAGAAAAGAAGGGACACTAGGACAAAACAGGAAACTAGCAATTCCTTAAGTCTGATTATGGTAGTAACCTGCAAATTGGCTCTGGGAAAGGTCTTCAAGTCTCTTTATTTCCATTTCTCCATATGGAAATCACATTGGGCAATGATAATTAATATCTATAAAAGTTCTGTGAAGAAAAAAAGCAATACCTAAAAACTAAGATTAGTAACTGACAGTATGTTAAAAAAAATATGGTTAACTATCCTCCTGTACCCGCAATGTGTTTAACTATGGTATTTTATCATTTTCTAAAACTGACATTCTCCCATTCCTTTTCTTTTTCTTCAATCATTCCCTTCTTTGCATTTATCCAGATTAAGCACTGGCCTTGGAGTGAGAAGATGTGGGATGCCATTGTTTACTGGCTGTGTGACACATAACCTCTGAAATTCAGTTTTCACATATGTGAAGTAGGGACAATAAAATTTGTACTATTCACATCAGGGTCTGTTGGGGAGAAAGTGTTTTGTCATCCATAAAGCATTATAAAAATGGGAGACATTATTCATTCAACCGAGTATCCACTATGTAAAATGCATTACACTAAGAATATAGAAGCATTAAGGAAAGCCTCTTGACTTATCAATCTTATAATCTACTAAGGAAGTTAAAACTAATATAAAAATAATCACATGCAAATTAGGACTGCACTTAAAAGTACTAATGCACAAGAGTATATAAAAAGAATAAGATATCGTATTAGAGATCACTTTCCGCTGCTGCAATCTATGAACATTGTTTAAATCCGTGCCACCCTCAACTGTTCTCTCCAACCCAGTTCTTCAAGGATACAGAATCATAAAATCTAAGAGTTAGAAGAGATCTCAGAGGCCAACCAGTCCAATTCTTAGCTAAAAAAGAAATTCCTCTACAATATACCTAATTCTAGTGAAAGGAAATTCATTAATTCCCTAAGTTTTTCCTTACACCAAACCTGTTAGCATCTTCCACCCCTTATTAACCCTAGTTCTACTCTCTAGGAGCCAAGTAGCACTAGGTTAATCCCTCTTCTGAGCGACGGTCCTTCAAACACCTGGATACATCGAACATGTCTCTAAAGTCTTAAAATTTTCCAAGCTAGCTATTACCACTCAGTTCCTTCAACTGACCACAACGTGGTATGAATTCAAGGTTCGTCACATTCCTGGCTGCCCAATTCTGAAAGTTCTCAATACTATCAATGTTGTTCCTAAAATATAAAGTGCAGAACTAACCATAGAATACCACATGTGGCCTGGTCAAGGAAGGGACCAGTGCACCTTTGGCTAATCCTGGGCACTAACCCTCTCCTTAGATGGCCTAGGATCACAATGACAATCTTGAGCTACCATATTACATTTATGACTCTTAATGAACCCCAGGGTTTTTTCTGACAAACTAATATATAGACAAGCCTTCTTCATCCTTGCAACTGCAAAATTGAATTTGTTCATCTAAGTATAAGATTTTAATTCATCCCTATTAAATTTCACCCTATTAGATTTGGCCAAACACTCCATACTGACTCAGTCATAAAACATGTTAGCTATTTCTCCCAATTCTGAATCCTCTGCAAAGTTGAAAAGTATGTCACACATGTCCTCAACCAAGTTACTGATAAAAATGTTAAGCATCACATAGTTAAGCACAGATGCCAGGGATATTCTACTAGAGATTTCCTGCCAAGGTGACATCTAACCATTAATGATTAGTAATTTGACTTTGGCCATCCAACCCATTAAAGTCCCCCAACTCTACTTCCACCTAGCCAGTATCACTCATCTTCTTCACAAGAATACCTATTATAAAAGATTTTGTCAACTGCTTTGCTAAAATTAGGGAAACTCTATCTATAGCATCATCATGATCTCCCTGGTGAAAAGTGAAATAAGGTTAGTCCAAATTGACTTTGTGACTATTGCTTCCTTTTCTTTATGCTCCCTGATTACCCTTTTAATCATAGTTTCTTTTTTAAAAAAAAATTTTGTTTTAATCAGTCAAGATCTACCTTCTCACCTCCCTGTTCCCCCTCCTAAATGAGAACACAACAAAAACAAAACTCTATACAAACATGTATAGGTCAATCAAAATAAACTTCCACATTGGCCATTTTCAAAAAAAATTTGTCACTCTTCATTCTGAATCTTTCACTTCTCTATCAGAAGGTGGGTAGCATGTTTTATCATAAGTCCTTTGGAATCCCAGTTGGTTGTTATGCTAAGAGTTCGGCACAATGGTATTCTATCACATTTATCTACCATAACTTGCTCATCTATTTCCTAGTTTATGAGCACCCCCTCACATTCTCATCCTTTTTCAAAAAGACTTATAAATATTTTTATGCATCCTTGGAGTTTGTTTTGATTGAATCTTTCCCTGAATTCATCATTCTTCTAGTTTTCTCCCTCCCTCTTTTCCCCTTTCCCTCCTCTTTCCCTGTTAAATGTGTTTTTGTTACCAACGTGTTTGGGGGGAGGGAAAGGATTCTTCCTTTTTATCCATTCAGATGAGATTGAGGTTCAAGGGTCAGCTGCTCCCCTCCACCCCTTCTTCCTTGTTTCTATAGATGTCTACTTCTAAATCCTGATTACTTGGCTCCTATGTATTTGGATTTTTTCTTTCTGGCTGCTAGCAGTATTTTTTCTTTGACCTATAGAAGCTCTGGATTTTGACTATGGTGTTTCAGGCAATTTTCATTTGGGAGTTTCTTTTAGAAGGTGCCTAGAGTATTCTATTTCCATTTTGCCTTCTGATTCTAAAAAACTTGGGCAGTTTTTTTTTTAAAGGTTTCTTGAAATAAGATGTCTGGGCTCTTTTTTTCGATCTTGGCATTTAGACAGTTCGATGATTTTTAAATTTTTTCTCCTCAATCTGTTCTCTATGTTAGTTCTTTTTGCTATATAATAACTATTTTTTTTCTTCTATTTTTTCAACCATTTGACGTTAATATTTGTTGCCTCATGGAGTCACTGGCTTCTAGTTGTTCCATTTTAATTTTCAGGCAATTTGTTACTTGGGCAAGGTTTTGTATCTCTTGTGTGAAGCATTTCCTTTCCATTCCACTTCTTTCTTCCACAGTTCTGTTTTCTTTTCCAATTTTTATCCCGAGCGTTCTCATTCCCTTTATAAAAACTTTTTTTTTTTTTGGAGGCAATTGGGATTAAGTGACTTGCCCGGAACACACAGCTAGTAAGTGTCAAGTGCCTGCTCTGAGTGCAGATTTGAACTCAGGTCCTCCTGACTCCAGGCCCGGTGCTCTATCTACTGCGCCATCTAGCTGCCCCTTATAAAAACATTTTAAAACTCTTTTTTAAACTCTTGCTTCATGTCTCTCAGGAATTCTAGCTCAGTTTGTGCCTAAGATGTGTTTTTCTCTGAGGCATTCCTTGTAGATGTTTTGGAGTTATTCTCTTCTTCATTTGTGTCTTGAGCATTTCTATCAGAATCGCTCATTATAGTAGGGTTCTTTTTTCTGTTTGCCCATTCTTCCAGCTTACCTCCTGACTTCAGACCTGATGTTGGGCCTGATCTTTGCCACACTCCTGGAGGGAAGGTTTGGGCTGAACCTGCTACTATTTCTTGGGATATCAAGTGTTGTGTTATTCCAGGCTCTCAGGGACAGGCATTCAATACTTCTAAAGTGGTCTGATCCAACACAAAGTCTGATTGCTTGCCCCTCTTTTGCCCCCACACCTCATCTGAGTTCTGCAAGTTGCTGGTCTGGGTTTGGGTCTATGTAAAAGTGGACCGGGCTAGAATTCACCCCTATTGGCTGGAAAGCTCTGTTGGTTGAGTGGTTCTGCAGGTTCCCCTTTCATTTGGAATTCCTGCCTTGGTAATTTCTCTGCAGCTTGGGCTAGATGCTTTGAATGAGAGCCTGCTTTGCACCTGGTGTCTGAGCTACATCACTTTCAGAATTTCCTCCTTTCTCTGTACACAGCCCAGGGTCTCCCTGCTTGGAATATCACTCCTCTGTGCAGGTGTCCTTTTGACCACCCTGGATCTGTGACCCAGAACTGGAAAATGCATGACAAAACTTTCAGTTTGTACTTGTCCTTGTCACAGGGGCCCAGTACGAATCTGCAGGTGCCCTTGGAAAGATCTGGGCTCTTCTTTTGTCCTGGTGCACAGCCTCTCTCTGGGTGCTGGAGTGTTCACACGTGGACCAATCCCATCCCCAACCCACAGATCCCTCTTCTGTTTCCCAATGCTGAGCTGGGCTGGAGTTAAACAGCTCTGCCTTCTCTTGGTAATTAGTTATCTGTATTTCATCTACACCAAGTGGCAGACTTTTTCCTTCCTTGATCCCCAAAATGAAAGGGGAAAATCCAGTAATACGTCCCTTCCTCCTCCTTACCAAAAAAATTGGTTTTCTTGTTGTCCTTTTTTTTCCTAACAAGCCTCAACTAACTCTGAATGTTAGTCCTCCAGACACTTGCGCTAACAGACTGCCAATTCATCTACACAGTACCAATAATTCTGACAAAAACTGAAAAATTCTGTCCAAAATCCAGACGTATGATCTAAAAGGTGATCTGCATGCTTTTAATAGCCACATATCTGACTGAAATCTATTTTCATCTAGATATTAGGTAGACAGAAGGTGTTATTATACGGTCCCTATGCACACCTTACTGTTGTGCTGTGATCTTATCATAAGATGGTATAAATATACTATGCCTTCTGAGCACTCCAACCAAAAATAAAACCCCAATCGTTAATTAATATCTCCAAATTGGGAAGAATGGTCGAAGTTAAATAAAAGAGAATCTCTCTTAAAGTGGATGCTATGAAACAAATTTAACATAATTAACATGACTTATAAAGGGAGTCAATCTTTGTCAAGTCTGTCAGTTTGAAACATAAGTGTCTTTTGTCCAATTTTAATGATACTAAAGGCACTTTAAAGGCAGAGTAGTGTAACAGAAAGAGCACTAACGTTGGAAGTAGATAACCTGGGTTTGAATCCCTTCCCCCTACCTCGGCTTCTTAATTCCCCAGATGACCTAGATCACTTAACCTGCTCGGGAAAGTTAAGTCTCCTAATCCATAAACAGAGGGAGGTATAGAAAATGATCTCTAAGGTCCCTCTCAGCTCTAAATTGTATGAAATAATCAACAAAACCCAACATTTCATCAGCCAAGAAAGAACCTTCTCCACCACAAATCTATTTTCTAATGATATTCTTTGCTCAAACTAAAAGCCCAGATGGGGTTCTAGTAAATTTCTACTGCCCTCCACTCCCTGGCATATGGCCCCAAAGATGTTAGTAAGTGCTTTTTTTACTACTGAATGTGGGTATATACTGTAAGAGCTTTAACTGATCTTTCCAATGATATAACTGCCTACAAAGACAAAAAATGTCAATCAAATCATAGATTACTAAAATCTATTCTACTTCTATCTCACAGAAAGGAAACTTAACCAAAACAATTCCACTGTCTACAGGCCACTGGGTATTATAACTTGCTATTAAAAACAAACAAACAAATAAACAAACAAAAAACAAGAAGTGGGTCCTTTCCATCACTGACCTGAAAGTGAGGGCTAGATACACACTTGGCAATTTGTTTAAACAATGGCTCCTGAATTTTAACAAACTGTGAAGGTTCAATCACATCCAAAATTTCTTCCAGCTCCCCAAGGAACATGACCTAGAAAACAAGCACAAGCTAAATACAAATTTTCAAGATCTTTACATCAAATTTTATTAGATGCTGAGAATGTGATTATATATATGGCCTGTTTTAAGAAAATCTTGTATATTAAAACTTGTATGAGAGGAGAAAAAGAAACACTAAGGCATGTAACATGTGTGTGTTTCACTTTACAAAGTATTTGACATATGATACCTTTTCAAATTAAGCTAAAAACTTGAAAATGATTTGCCAAAAAAAAAAAAAATACATGAAACATTGCAGTGACACATTATCATCTCATATTACTAACAAGTAAACCTATAACCTGCTATTTCTTAGCAGGCACACATTGCCACAGAGGACCTTTACTCACTGCCATCACATCACCTTCTTCTTCTGTCACAAGATCAGGGCTAGCACTATAACATGTGGCATGTATGTGTTAATTATCATGAGGACATTTTTGAGAGATGCTGGACAGTTTTAAAGGAGGCTGCTCTAAGGAAATGAGAAATGTACATTTATATAAACACTGAAAGGCATTGAATCTAGTACAAATATCTACAGTCTGATACACACACACACACACACACACACACACCACTAAGAATTTACAGTGGACAGTGAATCTCGTAGTAGTAGTAGTAGTAGTAGTAGTAGTAGTAGTAGTAGTAGTAGTAGTGGTGGTGGTGGTGGTGGTGGTGGTAGTAGTAGTAGTAGTAGTAGTAGTAGTAAGTAGTAGCAGTAGTAGTACTAGATATGCTAGACATTTGTATTTATTCTGCATATATTTATATAAGCGCATGTTGGCTCCCTCAGCAGGGATCTTTTCAATTTTTATTTCTGTATTTACCGTGCCAAAAACGTTAGGCACTTAATAAATGCTTGTTGATTGCTAAACTATGCTAACCTGGCAAGAGGCACTTAGATACTTAGGTACAAAGATAACTGTTAAGTGACATGAATTAGACATCTTTAAGATAACTTCAAAGGAAAATATGAAAATTACTTCAAGGGGGAGTAAATTAAAATGTAATGTCTATGACAATCCTTTCATAATGACATAATAGAAATTTTCTGCATACTTGTGAACTTTTTTTGGAGGGAGACATATATTTCAGATTTTTTCTATGGTAACATTAAGAATTCTGTCAAAAAAAGAAAAGCACCAGGAAAGGCCAAACCATCACAGATATGTTGCTAGGTCTGACTTAGGACTATGAAACTTACATACTGATAAGAACTTACCTCCTTTTGACTACATGTTTTAGGCCAGAATTTCATTAACCCTCTAATAACCTAAATGGGAGGAGAGGAAAAAGAATACTTAATTTTTCAAATCCACAGCAATAGAGAAAAGGAATTTCAAATTGCAAAAACTATCAAAGTAATATTTACTGGCTCTGTGAGTGAAGGATCTTTCTCCAAAAACTGTACTATGCAATATGCCAACTGAAAGAAAAAGAAAATACCAGATTACAAGTATTCTTTACTACGAACTCCAAAAAGCCCTTTTTAAAACTTAAAAGTACACAGTGTTAATACTTAATGTTCTGTTTACTAAATTTTACCTTAACTCAATGTAGGAAAAATACAAAATGAAACCCATTTTAAAAAATAAGACATTTTTATTACTAGACTTTAGTGGAAAGAAAATTATAGTCATTTGCATCTTAAGACAGGAAGAAGCCTTATAAAAATCACTTCCTTTTACAGATAAGGGAAACTGAGGTCCAACATACTAGAGCAAATTGAAAGTTTGTGGGTAAAAAAAAAAAAAAAAAAAAAAAGCCTTACTACTAACTTTCAGGTCATATGGAAGGTTCAATCCATCAATCCACAAGCATTTATTAGGCATCTACAAATTAAGCTCTAGGCACTGTCCTGGGGATAGAAATATAAAATACGGGTTCATCCCTACATTTTAACTGGGGAGTCAACATGTAAACATGTAAATTTCAAATTTATTACAAAGTAGTTAAATAAAAGATTGAAAGAGGGTATTAGCAACTGGAACTTCACATAGAAGATGGTGCTTGGGCTGTGTCATGGAGGTAGAAAGGAATTCTATAATGCAGAAATGAGGTACTGCATTCCAGAAATGGGGGACATCCAGTGCAAAGGCACTATATAAAGGGAGATATAGTATTATTAGAATTTGAGAGGAAGAAAGGAAGAGTAGCGGCCAATGGAGGCTAAAAAATCCGTTTGGGACAAGGTTATAAAGAGAAGCCACATGGTCCTATTTGTGCTTACGGATAATTATTTTGGCAGCACTGTGTAAAGACAGACTGGAGTAAGGAAAGGTCTGAGGTGATTAAAAAATTGAACCAAAATGGTGACTATGTAAGTGGAGAGGAAGGGTAGAATGAAAGAGATGTCATGGAGGTAAGATGCAACAAGATTTGGAAACTAATTGGATATAACAGGTTAGCACCAGTGATGAGTCAATACAGAGGTTACAAAACTGAAAGACTGAGAAAATGGTGGTACCCTTGATAGAAACAGAACAGTGTGGAATGAGAAGAGTTTAGGCCCCCAGGAGTGGGGAATTTGTGGCCTCGAGGCCACATGTGACCCTCTAGGTCCTCAAGTGCAGCCCTTTGACTGAATCCAAACTTCACAGAACAAATCTCTTTAATAAAAGGATTTGTTGTGCAAAACTTGGACTCAGTCAAACGGCTGCACCCAAGGACCTAGAAGGCCATACGTTACCTCAAGGCTGCAGGTTCCCCACCCCTAGAAGGGGGAAACACAGTAAGTGGTTTTGGACGTGCTGCATTTGAGATGTCTCTGGGTTACACTGTATGAAATGTCCAATAGGCAGGTCTGAAGCTGAGGGGAGACTGGGGCTGGTACTGAGTCATCTAAATCAAGATAATTAAGCCTATGGGAGCTAATGTGGTCACCAAGAGAAAGTATAGAGAGAGGACAGAAGAGGACCCAAGACAGAGCCTTAGGGAACATCTACAATTAGGGTACTGATTACAGTTTATGTAATGAAAAAAAGAAAAAAAAGTCACATTCCAGTTAATTTTTAAATTCTCTGAACTTCATCTGAGAGATCTTTTTTGAACAAAGATTCTGCAACAGTGCCTCTTTGCTATCTCTGACAACACTAGCAAAATAGTAATTTGCTTTGGTACCAAAATAATGCTATAGTAACGGGAACTTATTAAAAATGTTGCTGACCAACATAAGCAAAACTCTATCACATTGGTATGCAGAAAAATGAAGTGTCTGGCATAGATAGGACCGATGAAATCTTAAGCTCTGAGTCTGAAGTAAATTCATTTAGGATAAACATTCTTTTATATGCTTATTAAATGTGATTTTGTGTTCCAAAGACAAAAAACAGGATTTGTAGGAAGTGCTCATAAAATTTTTTGGAAAGCAATCATCCTTAAGAAACAAGATTTAAAGATAAATTAAAAACACATGGGCTAAAATTTCCTTGATGTAGGCATTTAACATTTAAAGAAGAAAAGCACTTGGAAAAATGTATCATACATTTAGTCAAACTCAAATATGGGGGGGGGGGGGAAGAAAGGAATAGAATGTTGATACAGAATTAAAAAGCTACTAAGATTAGCAACCCCTTTAGTGACATGCTGAGTATGAAAAATAACTTAGCAAATAAATTAGAAGATGTACAAGACAGATAATGAGAGGATGTGACTTTTGAAAGTGATAAAAGTAGGACAAAAAAGACAGGGAGACAGACTAAAGATCAAAAAGCATTTGTGTCTGCATATATCCTCATTAAGGGAAGGGAAATAGGGAGGTAAACTAAAAGATAGGAGAAAATACAGGCTAAAGAATATTGTTGGGGTATCTAAAACTGAGATCCTTTTATTCACACAAGTTATAATGAAGTCTCAATGTTTAATAAGCAACTGTATGACTTTGAAGATCACAATTACTTAATCTATTGTGTCAGTTTCTTGCAAAATGAGGGAACTGCAGGAGGCCATCTCTACAGTTCTTTCAAGCACTAAAAAGCTCTATGATTCCAATGGAGCTACAACTAATTTCCCGGTGAAATTTTAGCAAGTTTTTTAAGTGACAATATTGTTTTTTAAATATCAAAACATTCTACTGCAGCCACATGAAACACCACTTTAAAATATTTTACCTGTGCATGGAAGAGAGATAAGCTCCTGACTGTATGTAAAGGAATCAATACCTTCACCAGAAACTGTTTATGTTCTGCCTTAAGAGGTAAAGCAAAGCCATTGATAATACTAGGAGAAAAGAAAGAAATAGAAATTAGCAATGTTACCACCACAAATTAAGTTATCTACCAAATAATAAGAATGAATCAGTTTCATTGGCAAAAATACTAACAATGCAAAAAAATAAAAATAAAAAAGGCACTAGAATTCAAGACCAAACTTCATTGGTAAGGAAGACTAACATAAAGTAAAAAACAAAGATTTGTTCTTGATTCTATAGAAAAGCTTCCTTATCTAATCACTAGAGGAAATACCAAATACTCCTTCCACCAAAAGATCCCTTGTTCCCCAATTTGTCTTTCCCATTCCCTTCCTTCAAAGAATCACTTGTGCTGCACATTTCCTCTCTGAATATGGCACTCTCAATTCATACTTTCTCCCTCTCTCACACATCTTGTTTCCTCTCTTCCCATCCCAGTGATACCTTCAAGACCTCACTAAAAGAAACCCCACATTAGACCACACATTTTTTCTCCTAATGTGAATGGGAAAAGTCAATTACATTATCCAGTTCAAAAACAACAACAAAATACAGATAAATTACATTAATCTGCCTTCAGAAATCTTTTTAACACCTATAATTAATAAATCCATTCCACAACTGAAAGCAGCTGTTCAAGAGCTAGTTGTGTGCATATTGTTCCTTTGAGAATAGCAATCTTTTTATTTCTTTATTTACTTGTGCCCTTTAATTTTTTATTTTATTTTATTTCTTTTAGGCAAATTGGGGTTAAGTGACTTGCCCAGGGTCACACAGCTAGTAAGTATCAAGTGTTTGGTGTGAGGCCGCTTTTGAACTCAGGTCGTCCTGACTTCAGGGCCAGTGCTCTATTCACTGTGCCACCTAGCTGCCCCTGCCCTTTAATTTTTCAACAAATGTATCAACAGACAAGATGGCCCAGAAACTAACAAGAATAATATGGCCCTTTGGCAAATAAAGAGACCAATGATTAGATAGTTGTCACTACAATAAACTGAAGTACCTGTTTTCATCACTAAGTGAAATTATCAACACAAAAACTGTAAAGCAAAGTGATTAAGAAAAAAAAATCTGGTATTAGTCAAGCTTAATACAAACAAGAAGTAATTTACAGCAAGATTTATCTAAATCAGCACTTCAGTTTTGCCACTTGACTCTAATTTTCAGAAGAGCTATTCAACTGAGATTAGCAATTAAATCAAAAAGTGCTTACCTTCCTAATATTTCCAGCAGTTCAGCGACTCCATTGAAGTGTTCAGTTTCATAAACAAACCTATAACAGAGAAAAAAAAAATAAAGTTCTTAGGCTAACTAGCTAAATGTGTCGAGTTTACTTAATATTTCTATGAAAACCCTAAACTCTTCTTCCTTCTCTCTCCCCTCACTACTTACCGTAGAAAAATATTGTTAATCTGTTTTCGGATAAATGCTCTAAGACCAAGAAACTTGCCGTAAATTCTGTGTAAGACTGTTTTTAGGTAGTCTCGTTCTCGAGGGTCTTCACTGTCAAAAAGTTCCAAAAGCTATTGTGGAAAACACAAACAAATCACACGTTATTTAACAATAAATAAAAATTCATGCACTAATTTAATCTTAGGAAATGCTGATGAGCAGAGTCATACTCGTGTATAAAATCTATGTCACCACTCTAAAAAAGCACTAAATAGTGTATCTTTCTGAGAAAGCTTTTGGGCAAATACAATAATCAAAAGTACTAAGTAAAAAAGGCACAGATTATTTATATGCAAGGAAGTATCATGGAATCTTCATGTATGATCATAGGCTTCAGAGCCAGACAGACTTAATGATAATCTAGTCTAATAACCATTTACTGCTGAGAAAACTGAGACCCAGAGAAGTAAATTTAACTTGACTTAGGTCATACAGATTTTAAGGAGCAAAATCAGGAACTGAACCCAAGGCTTCTAGTCCAGAGCCAGGCTGCTGCCTACTTTTAATCTGGCCAATGATATTCTTTGGATACTCTGAGGCTAACATATTTGAAGATTTTTGTATGTATGTCTATAATCTGGAAACAAACCTAATTAAATGTACAGGGGTTAAATCACCAGTTTGGCCACGACGTGATTACATTTTTCTGGCCAAACCAACCCAGAAAAGGGGACCCCCCCAAGACAAAAAAGGGAAAATACAAAATGGCTACAATGTTGAGAAATCTAAATATCTACCTGGGGTAGGCAGATTTAATTGGTTGAGACAACTCTAGCTAATCACGAGCTGATAGCGCTAACAAAATTTCAATTGTCTTATGAACACAATGGTTTTTCCTCATTGATCTGAAGGTTATTTTAGATTATCATTCTTATTGTTTAGAGTAAAACCTTAAAGAAATTTTCATTCTCTTACATGTTCAATATTAGAAAGGCTAGAAAAAAAACAAAGTTAACATCACATGATAAGCATGGTCATGGAATACCTGAAAAGACCATCTTGGCAGAAAGCAATCAAACAGCAAAGTTTGATTTTTGGCAAAGTAGTGGCAGTGCCACAGACATCAAATGGTTCCATAAACAATGGCGTCAACTACAAAACCAATGAGTGATATTTAAATGCAAGCAAAAGGAAAAAAGAAACTAATGGCATTCTCTCTCTTTCACACAAACACACACAGATGATAAATGATATTATTAGCCATAGCATCTTCAAATATAAAAATAAGCTACAAAGCTACGTTCACAAAGTCTGAAATACTGTTGAACCAAAAATGAAAACTACTCAATAGGCAAGTATGCTATTCTTGTCTCATCCTTTGCTCTGTGATTTGTATACTCTGCTACATACTCACGCTTACATTAACTCCATCGACCTATCACATTACTCATTAATAGAAAGAATGGATTTTTTTTCTTATTTTTGGTTCTGTTTCTATTTTAAGTCTTGTAAAGCAGTTTCATGAGTAATTCACAACCAGCATAAGGGAAGGAGGGGAGGGAGGTTATAAAGCTTGAGTCAACTATGAAACTATTTCATGAAAACTTATTAACTAATGGTTGCATTAGACCCTCAAAAATAGACTACTGGGTGTCTTCCTTTAGTCCTATGGAAAGATACATTTTTTAAAAATACATTTTTTAGAAAAATAAAATAAAAAATGAATCATAATTTAATCAGATGCTTTTCAGCTGCTCCATGAGGCAAAATAGAAAAATTACCATATACCTTAGTGTATCCTTTAAATATAAGGAAGAGACGAAGATAAAAGAATCACAGACTGCAACAGACCTTTGCCATCGTTCAGTCCAACTCCTTCATCTTACAAATGAGGAAAATGACCCAAAGGAGGTAATTGATTTGCTCAAGATCACAGAAAACTGGCAAAGTAACTGGCAAAGCCAAAATTATGTATCTAATCAGATGGCAAAAAATAAAGGAAGAACAGTGATACTTGAAACAAAATAACTGTGTATCTACACACATACTTACAGAAGGAATGAGAAAAATGATTCGCCTTGTTTACATATAGAATATGGATAACAGGTTGCCCTATTGTCAATCCAGGGACAGCTAAGTGGCACACCGTGGACAGAGTGCCATGCCTGGAGTCAAGAGGTTTCATCATCTTGACTTCAAATCTGGCTTCAGACACTTACAAACTGTGTGACCCTGGGCAAGTCACTTAACCCTGTTTACCTCAGTTTCCTCATCTGTAAAATGAGCTGGAGAAGGAAATGGCAAACCACCCTAATATCTTTGGCCAGAAATGACTGAAAACAACTAACAATAACAAAATGTCAAACTAAAAATATAATCAAGTTGCCAAGGTGAATACAGAATAGAATGATCTGTCAAAAGTGCTAACCCAAAACTGACATTAATACAGAAGTCAATCTTCTTAAAACAAGGCTGAAGAGCTCAGTTAAAAGACTCTGCTCTGAATCTAACAGAATAAATCTAAAGTGAAAATGGTATAGAATCAAAAATCCAAAGTAAAGCCCTTGGCTGCAATCTACCATAAGAGAAAGAAATATTTTTCACTTATCTACCAGATTTTAATAAATGTTTAAGAAAAATTTATCAGAGACTCCACTGACCCTGTCTTGACCATCAGGAAAGACCTAAGATTGGACATCTGCCTTGCTGCCACATGTATACACTTCCACATTTTCCCTGAGGATTAATCATCATATCAACATTACCTTTGCTACCTTGAAGGATATAAGGGTCTACTGGGCCTCCACTCAGGATCCCTATGATTTTGAGGTGTAGCCTGTCTAGACTGAAGCCCCCTTCCCTGAATACCACCAATTCTTGCTCCCTCACACCCAACTATGTACACCACATCTCTCTTGTGTTCCTATTTCAATTCCATTTTGGCCTCTGGAAATTGTTCTATTGCTAATAAACAGCCCTTTTTATTAAATTGTTTCATATATATTCTATATATTGTATTTGGGGTATATGGGACATTCAGGAGGACTAGCACCTCTAGTATGAGAGCTTGTTGAGATCTTTTCAGGGCTAATCATCTACCTTAGATGTCCACCTGATTCATCCAACTCTCACCTGTGGCTCCAAGAAACTATAGCCTGCACAGTGGCCACACTTTGGTAAACCGTCTAGACAGAGGGGCTAAATCAGATTAAATGTAACCAATAGGCCTCACCCCTGCTGATGAGTTAGGAAGCAGCATCCTGATCTCAGGCAATTTGTTCTCCTATGATACAGTCTCTTCTATCTCAATAGGTAAAGGTATACCCCAAGCACGTAAGGAATTAGGGGGATGTCTACACCAACCATATGAAAACTTTCCCTAGCAGAATGGGCAGATGAAGCAGGTGCCGTGGAGCTCTTAGAGACTGGTCAGGCATTGAAGACCGCCAAGGTCATCCACTGTATCCTGGGCCATTGCCAGTTATCTTGACTTTTGTCCTGCCACTGGACTTCACTGACTCAAGAAGAGTGAGTGAGGCTTATGACTTTGTGCAACTCTGCTTCACTTAAATCCAATTCACATGCAGGTCAAGACATCACCCATGATGCCACTGGTTCTCTTTGAAAATGAAGAACAAACAACAATATACTGTATTTACTCATGTAATTTTTACTGCATGTGTCACTTTCCCCCCAATAGAATGCTAGGGCACAGGCTATTTTGTTGTTTCTTTGTATGCTGAGTGTCTGGCAGAGTGCCGTGCACAAGAGAACTGGTGATATTAAATACTTGTACAATTGAATTAAATTTTTTTAAAAAAGGAAAACAAAAAAAGGATGGAATCTTTTTCCATTACTGTCTGTAAATCTTCATGGAGGCCTAAATGCTTGTCCATACATAGTGTTTGTGCAACACTAATTAATCACTCAAATAAATGTTGGCTTTAAGTAAATCTTAATATTAAATAATGTTTACAATTAGTTAATACAGAGAAAACAGTTTAATGCCAAATAAGGTCAAAAACAACTAGAACCAATCCTTAACTTCCTTAATTAACTAGTGTACATGATGGATTACCCAATAAGCTTCTGTCACATGCGAAAACACACACAGAAGGAAAAAAGGACTGATTAGATTCATAACTACAAATATTCTAGCAATCAGTTATAAGACACACCTAAACTTTGCAAGCAACTCTCCAAGGAGCTAGCCTGATAATTGCCTCATGAATGTTTGCTGAGCTGAACTCAATTTAAGATTTTCCCTCTTCCTGAAGGGTGGGCTGGAATAAGGCTCAACACTATGTGAGGGAGTAAGGTTCTAAGATGTCTGGTAATTTCATTCTGGTGCATAGTATTTAGGAGGGGTCATATGGGAAAGGGTAAGAAACCATCCCTTCCTGTCAAAATGAGGAGGGAGGAAGTGTTGTTATTGTTGTTTTTCCCAGGGAAGTCTGAGGACAAACATTTAGGCAAGATGTGTGGAGGCTAAAGCAGACATCTACTCCCTGTGCTTATCCCAGTCCAGGAAGCAGCATCCTGATCTCAGGCAATTTTTTCTCCTATGGTATAATCTCTTCTATCTCAATAGGTAAAAAAAACTCCAAGTGCTACAAAATATATTGTGTGTATTTAAAATATTACATTTTATGTTCATTTATTTTCAAATATAAACTGTACCATTTGCTGGGAGTATATGAGAATTTTTGTGTTCCTCTGTGTGTGTGTGTGTGTGTGTGTGTGTGTTTACCACTGTTAACATTTAATACTCTACCTAAAAGCTGAAAAATTTACCTCACTTTTACATTTTTTATCTGCTAGATGCAAAGCAAATTTGTTGAGATATTCACTTATCACGTCCTTTGATAAACTTCAATAAATGATATTTACTGTGCTAGGATGGTCTACACTAGACTAATAATTCACTAAGACTGAAGTTATCTATCTCTTTGATTGTATAGCCTATAAACCTATAAGGCTGGTTCATTTATAAATGCAGGCAATGCTTACTTAGCTACCACCACATTACTCAGATTTTTAAACATTACTTTTTAAATGTGATTGAATTGTCAGTGTTATTCAATGTTAATACAGTCTATAACCTTAATTCTTTTATATTCAACTAGGAAAG